AATAAGATAAAAATTCTCCTTCACCCCTGAACTGGGGAGAAGTTAGTGAAGTTAGGGAGAAAAATGAAGAATGTTTACATTAAATCATAATATGCTGGAAATAAGAATGAGATTTCTGGCCAGTGAGAGTAACAAAGAAACCAGTGACACAAGGTGGAGCTCAGTGTGTTTATGAAAAGCAGTGAAGTGTTCAGCAGTGACAGCAGGGGTAACAAATTGCTTTCAGCAGGTCCCTTCAACGCTATTAGTAGTTCTTTCGGATTTTGTTTGCGGATCCATTTATTCAGGTTTTTTTCTTTCCAGTGTTTGCAGATGACCTTGCAGAAAGATGGTAGATTTGATGCTAGTTTTAGAGGAGTACAGACTGGTGACCATGGATTTTGAAAGTGGGAAGGGACAGATGAGTGAGGAGTCAGGCCTGATGTTAGATGTGTGCACGAATGTGCAAATGTATGTAGTAAAGACAAGGAAGGGAGGCTCTTGTGGCAGTGACAATGCCTGCAATGTAGTGCAGACAGTAGGTCAGGAAGGAACTTCCAGTGGGAGATTACAAGAGAGGGGGCAGGACAACAGCTAAGATGGGACAGATGAGGCATGTGTACCCAAGCACCTTTCCACCCTGAGCACTGGGAGGAGGCAGGATGCTTCTAATGCAAGCAAGAGTTGTAGCCAGCTCAGCTGTTGGCCAGTTGAGGACAGGGCAAATCCCATCCCTTAGGGAATGTCAGTGGGAAATTGGAAGCTCAGGTTGGTGCTGTGTGAAGGTGCTGCTGCTGAGGCTATGGAGAAATAGGAGGTGAAAAAGTCCATCTGTAAGGCTATGTAATAATTAAGACCGAGCATAACCGATATGATAGCAATTACCCTCAGTAAACATCTGAATATTTACTCATCCTTTTCCACTTTTGATTTAAAAAAAAAAATTAATAGAAGATGGATTTATTTGAAAGAATAAGGCACATGCCACAAAAGAGCATTCTGAGAGAAAATGAAAAATAAAGAGTTGGAGGCATTTCCCAAAGGCACAGGGAAATATAAATAGTCTTGAGTTTCATGTCAAAGGGAAGAAATACTTTGTGTTAGCTTTATTTTTAGAAAGCGGGAGAAGTTATGAGACAGCCTGATATGAGCCGGCTGTCTGAAAATATCTGTCATTTTCAGTGTGTACCCTAGATATATCTGACCAGTCTGCTACTCTGTGAAAAACATGAAAATAGAAAGTGTCACTGGGGAAAGATTCATCTGCCCCGACACAGGTGGCTAGAAGTTAAATACCTCAGTATGAACTGTTTGCTTCAGACCATTGTATCTGGTGGAGGGGAAAAGAGCATCATGAGCTGATAATCTGTCTCATGTAAAATCAGTTGCCTGAGGTAGGCTAGGAAGATGTAAAATAGGGTGACAAGCTGAGGTGTACACATCTGTAATCATCTGAGATGAATCTTGTCTACAAGAAACTCCTATTGACTACATTGCTCTTAAAATGAAAGGCTGAGCAGCCTAAAATGTGTAAGTTTGGAGGCATAAGTGCTTCGCCATGTGGGGGTCAAGTACGATCTTAGTGCTCCCTTAAAATGTATTAACGCTGATAGGGCAAAATGTAACTGGGAGAAGTTATTTCTAAACTTCCAGAAGAGAAACATGTCAGGGGTAGATGCAAAGTCATGTTTTCCAGCTGATCCACTGTGACAGGTCTGTAGTTGAACAAGAGTTCATGTACACTGAATTCTTGCAGAATGGTGGATTTTCTGTATTCATCATTGTATTATGAATCTGAAACTGGAAACAGAATTTAACACAGAGAGAATAAAGAAGCTTCATGAGTTGTAGCTTCAAAATAGAAAACCTTAAGTCAGAGAGTGTTCTTGAAATTCTTAGTTCACAGTCGTGATTCTAGGTAATCTGGTTACATCTGTGAACTGTATCAAGTAAAGCAGTGCACATAGTAATGTGGGTGACAGAAAAAGAGTTCACAAAAGTGGAATTTCTACATTAATTTAAAAGAGATTCTCAATTTTTCTTTTTAAGTCTTTGACAATAACTGGTTGCAGCCGCCTTTGCTGGGTCTGAGGAAGTCCCGGGCTGATGTCGATTTGTCTGCTGTGTGCCATGGGTCAGTAGTTTGGTGAGAAGCTGAAACGATTGGCAGTATCATCTCTCTTGGTTATCATTCCCATGGATGACACTGCAGAACTGATCACCCTCAGAAGAAATCCTGGCTGAATTTAGGGATGTTCTGTGTTGCACAGCAAGGGTCTTAATGACCACTGTGGTCATTCAGAGGTCCTGAGGGTAGAGAGCCATGCTCTGATAGAAAAGAGAGAAAGTCTTGGAATTTGGGAGCTGAAAACGTCACCCCTAAAGAGCTGAAAATTCAGAAGAGCAAATGCTTCTTGGCAATTAGAAAGTAGTTTGCAGAAATAAAGGTTCACTCTATGTGTTACTGGTTTCAGTGAGGTCTAGTAACTTGCACTGGCACAATTTTAGTGATTTTAGTCTAAAGGGTAGCCAGCTTTCTGGCACTTCGAACAGGTACCAAAAAAGAAGGCAATGGAGAAGGTATCCTATGTCTGTGATAGCCTTGAAAAAATGCCCTGTACTGTCATTGCATCTGTGCATTTCAACTGTAAGTGCCAGGCCGTTCTGCTTGTGCTAGAAATAGTGTTCTTATTAGCTCTCTTACTACAGCAGCAGAAGGTACGTATTCTGGCATGTCTGTATCCACACCTGTGGATCTTATTCATACAGACAGAAAGTGCTTTCCCATGCTTGACCTGTAGACCTTTGTACATGGGACAATGCACATTCATTGTATTGTCTTGTGTTTCAGGGTTTTTTATGTGTATATATATGGTAAAGATGTCAATACATTATATGAAGTTGCTGTGAAGTATAATGACATAATAGTACCACTGCGAATATGAGAAGTCATATATTTGAGATATAGTTCTTCACACAGTAGTGAACATGACGGATGTTGGACCTATTTACAAGTAACGAGGTTGCGCAAACTCTGCAGGAAGTGTTTGTGGGAATGTTCCTTCGTTGGTATGTTCTGCAGTTTCTTTTTCAGCATGCAGGCAAGCAATGGAGCAATTAGCACTGATGCAGACTCAGATAGCTTCCATCTTCCATCACAGTTTATTACTTCATTTGTAGATTAAACAGAAGACGTTCACAGTGTGTTTTCCATGTAAAGTAGTTCAGCATTTTATGTTTCTCTGTCAGACACAGTGAAAAAAACAGTTGCAGAAGCTGATACATGTGTATGGCAGTGCTGTGATATCTTTTGAGAAATAGGGTGTGAACATATAATTAAAGACTACAGGATACGTTTAACACTTTGTGGCTAAGGTTAAAAAAAAAACATGTAGCTCCTCATTTCTGCATCTTCCCGCTGGAGAGGCTTGTTCTGAAGGAGAGACTTGAGGTTTCTTTCCTAGGAGGCCTCCTACGTGTACTAGAAATAGCTGGGGTGCGACATGCCCTAGTTACATCCCCTGCACGAGTGGTGGTGAGGACGATGTGGTGGGAGCAAGCCAGCTCCGTAGCCACTGGCAGTACAAGAAGCATGGTGGGGTGAGCTCCAGCTGCTCCTCCTGCACCCACAGCCACGTAAACAGGACGTGCTTGTGCACAAAAGGAAAGTGTTTACATTGTCTTCGCTGCTTCCTGAGTTTCAAGAGGAGGGGAGAAATGGCAGGAATAGGCATAGGACAGTGGAAGTCCTTACCTGGGCTCTGCCACTTGCCAGAGGACCGCACAGAAGCAGTCCCTACTCTTTCGCGCTGCCCAGGGCCCCTTCACTGTGCCTGGCATGCTGCAGGGTGAGTTGCACTTGGGTTAATCCAAGTGCCAAGAACGGTCCTACCCTTTTCCCAAGAAACAGACTGAGATGAGTCCCTCTGCCTTCTCTGTCACACATTTTGGGGGAACTGGGAGCATGGGGCTGTTTGAGCTTGAAGACGTCTTGACATAAGGGGCAGTAATCTGTCCAAGGAGGTGATTCTGCCCCACTACTGTGCTCTGGTGACACCCCACCTGCAGTACTGTGTCCAGCTCTGGAGTCAGTACAGGAAAGATACAGACCTGTTGGAGAGGGTCCAGAGAAGGGTCACAAAGATGATCAGAGGTATGGAGCACCTCTCCTATGAGGAAAGACTGAGAGAGTTGGGGTTGTTCAGCATGGAGAAGGCTCCAGGGAGACCTTATTGTGATGTTTCACTTCTTAAACGGGGCCTGTAGGAAAAGTGGGGAGAGACTCTTTAGCAGGGCCTGTTGCACTAGGATGAGGGGTGATGGTTTTAAACTAAAAGAGGGGAGATTCAGGCTGGATGTGAAGGAGAAATGTTTTACAGTGAGGCTGGTAAAATACTGGCACAGGTTGGCCAGAGAGGTGGTGGATGCACCATCCCTGGAGACATTCAAGACCACGCTGGATGTGGTTCTGGGCAACCTGATCTAGTTGAAGATGTCCCTGCTCATTGCAGGGGGGTTGGACTAGATGAGCCATGAAGGTTCCTTTCAACCCAAACTATTCTATGATTCTAACCTATCTACCAGTACAGAGAGAAAATACCTATCGGAAAATACAAGTTTATCCCCTCAAAAGTTGCCAGATGATGTAGGCAGCTGCAGTGTCTGAAATTCTGGGTTCTTTACACCAGGTAGATTTCAGGTTGTGTCCCATTAACGCAGACCTTAGGATTCCTTAAATACACTTGTGTGATTATAGCTAACCTATTACAGCTAAAGCTGCTTTATTAATTACATTGCCATGTTGGGTTGTAACATGCTAAAAATATCAGTACTGATAATCTTGGTCACTTCTTACTTTCAGCACGGCTACGTTCTTTGTACATGCTGTCACATCACAGTGCTGTAGATGCACCAGGGTTATCACAGGCAGGGCGTTATTATTCCAGCAAAGCTATTTCTTTGTTATTTCAATAGGAAACAGAAGATAGGCGATAAGCTAACAAACTGACAATGGGTGGAAGTTCATTAAAAATATACGTCCTTGTTGTATGCATGATGTATTTAGAAGTTAAGCCCTCTGGAGCAGCAGGTGTTTGTACAGTGCCACTACAATGGGGCCTCGCGTGTCACCAGATTGGCAGTGCTGATGGTAATCAAAGCTGACTCTTTGGCACGCTGGCAAGTTAGGTGGGGTCAGGGAGCTGGTAGCTGTGTACAGTTCTGGTTGTGAGGCATGTGTGAGGTGGCTGGGCGGGGGGCTAGAACAAGCACCTTCCACAGAAGGCGTCCGTGTTTCTTTTTGGCAAGCTGTATGTCAGAGGTAGTATGTTGCTGCAGTTACTTTCAAATCACCTATTTTTTTTTTCTTTTAAAATAAATATTGCATTAAGCTGCGGTCTAGCTTTGTAATACACAAGTAGGTCAAAGTGCTGTCATGACTGTCTTGTATACCACCTACAAACACAGCTTAAAAATATGTCAAGTGCCAAATTAAACAGGAAGAGCAAGCGATGCACTCTAATTCCTCAACTTGTGCTCAAGTCTGGAGCACAGTTTAGCAGTGGTGTGACAGAAAGAACATCGCACCTCTGGCTTTTGACATCACTTTCACCAGCAAATGTGGTGGAAACCTGGACTGTTTTCCAGTGCTGTGAGCAGGTTGAGTCTGTTGCTGGGCACATTGTGCATTTAACCTTCACAGTATTGGAGGCACAGAGTTTGCATCTGTAAAGTGGTTGCTTCACCCTCAGTTTCAGACACTGTGAAGGTAAAGCAGCACAGTTAGTGCACACAGGTACCACTATCATCATCCCCCTGGATCCCCTGACATAAGGAGGTGTGAAAAAAACCTCTCAAGTTTGCTGACCTGCAGATAATTTTTTTTAGGAAATAAGCAGCTGTAAAAGTGCATTGAAAAGATACTCCAGCTTCTTGAAAACATCCAGCCCAGAACATCTTTTTTGCTTGTTAATGGCATTTCCCCTGGCCTCCACCATTTCCCCTGGTCATTCCTGCCTTTGTGGGAGCAGGGTGGAGCTGGGGATTTGCAGCAGGTACCAATGTGCTTTTGAGCTTCCTCGGGAGGTGCAGGGCTGCTTCCCTCTCCACTGAGAGCTGGGGCACTGGGGAATACATACCCCATCTACAGCCAGCCCCTTCCTTTGTGGCTTTGGTGCCATCTCTAGTATTTTGATACACAAAATTCCCTCTTTGTGTGCTCTCACGCACATGGGGACGTGTGTGTGGGAGAAAGACGATTAGGTTTGTGAAGCTCAGATGTTTCTGAGGCAGTGTGAGGATACGGAATGCTGTCCCGTTTGGGATGCTTTCTGATACGAGCTGCACCCAAGCTTAGTTAGTCCAGCGCTGGCCATCTGGGTGAACTGCTCTCCCCACATCACCTAAAAGAGCAATCATGCTTTCCTTTCTCTTAACAGATAATCCTGAAATAGCCAGCAGGAGTGGAACAGAGTGTCACGAAGCCTCCCTGCGGACGGCCAAGCACGGCTACTGTACATACTACCCCGTCTCCTCCTCTCTAGAGTTGCCACAAACTGCATGCTAAGTCAAGAATTTGTTCTTATGGACAAATCACAAACTCAAAAAAGCTAGTGCTGCTATGTCATATATGAATATTAAATATGGTATGCTTACTATACTCCAACCTAAAGTAGTTAACTACCTGATACCAGCTGTGATGTTTCAAGACATAAAGGGTAACATTTAGTTTTAAAGATTTTTCTAAACATAGTTTAATTCTTGCAAATACTGTCTTTTCTCCATAACTATACCTAATGGAAATGGTCCAGTTAAGTTAGTCTCGTGAGATTCAGTGTTTATGAATCTTTCGAGCTCAGCAATAATGAAGTTGCATTGGCTAAAATCTTATCCCAGTTGCAGGTTTAATTTTCACCCAAACTACAATTGGGGTTTTCCTTCTCGCTTAAAAAAACCTCTTGGTTTTGCTCCCCCAGCGAGTCGATTCCAAGACAGAGGAAGTGAAACGCAGCCCAGTGTCCTGCACATCACCCCGCCAATCTGAATATCTTTAGCCAGAAGTCCAAAGCAAAGCACAATTTAGATGCACATGGTTGGTGTTTGACTTGTGTGGAGAAGTTGCATTTGAATCATAGCAGAATAGCAGAAGAAAATTTAAAAATTTGCACAGTATGAACTTCATACCCCTTTCAATCCCCAAAAGAACAAAGTCTTGAGAATATTATTTTACGAGTATATTTATAATGTTTTTAAAAGAGACTTTGCAGAAGTGCCTAAATTTTGTCACATCAGACTTGATGAAAGTGAGCCTGATGCCAACAGTCAAACGTCACCAGAAGCGAATAATCTGTCAAAACTCATTGTCAGGTTAACCAAAAAGATCCGAGCTGTTACGAAGTAACTTGTAGAAGTGTAAAAATCAAACACACACACACAAAAGACCAAACTAACAAAAGAGAAGGCGAAAAAGAAGGCTGTAGATGAAGACTGTATGATACTCTAATTTAATTAAAATTCAGTTGCGTCACTGAAACTTCATCAGTGACTTTAATCTAGACTATTAACTGAACACTAAGAATGTAGAATGAGATTCAGTTTAATAAATCATTGCTGTATTTGCATTTTTTTTAATTGGATTATAAGATTGTAACCAGATTAGAGTGGAGAAAAAAATAGTTCTTTTAATTGTTTTTCTTTAAAAACATATTTTATGTCACAAAAGTATGAAGATATCTTTAATACAATTATATACATGTTATATATACATACATACATATATACATATATATGGATGAAGCAGATTTTAATGTTGTTTACTTTTTTAAATACTTTGTTGATTTACAAGGTAATTATATATGTATAATTAAAATTTCATTTGTTTGATTTGAGATTTGTTTCAAGCACTATTGTACCAAATATTTCATATTTCACATTTTATATGTTGCACATATATCTCATAAATGACATAGTTTTTAAATTATTGTTTAAAAAAACCAGGACAGCTGTTATAAGTGGATATTATGTATAATTGTTTGCAGCATAAGTTTTCTATGTGGACATTATTAGTGATTGCAGTATTTTAACTTAACCTCTTCAGATTGATTGTAAACTATTTTAAACTTTGGCAGCACTGCCTGTTCGGAACGACTGAAGGCACTAACCATATAATTATTTGTCGAGGAAATTCTCTTCCAGGCTAAATCTTGTTTGTCCGATGTCTAATTACTCTCTATTTATATATGAAGCTGGAGATTTGATCATCCGAAAGAAAAAATAAATAACCACAATTCGATTGTAAAATTAACATAGTGCTTGTAACGTTGCATTAGTTTAATTTGTGGAAAAATAATGTATCTTAACTCGTTACTTTAGCAGTTAAGGTATCACCATTATATACTATTAAAACACTAATATTTGTAGACTTTCTCAGTCATTATAACTAGGTAGTTGACACTGCAACTTGCCTATATCTGTCAAAGTTGTTTTTATTTTTTTATAATAGTTAATTTAGGCATTTGGGTAGCTTATTGTATAATACTAAATGGTAAATTATCCATGTTGTTTAAATATTTTATGTAGATAACTCTCCAGGACATTGTTTTGTGTGAACTTTTTATGTTTCAAAATAACTGTTATTCTATGTTTTTTACAATTAATCCAAGACTCCTATTTTTTGCCCATGGATGATGAAGCTTCAGATACATCAGGTCTTTCATCCAGACAAACTGACAGACAAAAAGAGAAAATGTATTTTTTAATAAGAGATCCACTTTCTGACTTTATGACTTTGTAATATTCCTGAAAACTGTACAAGTACAGACCTATGCTAACAGTAAGGAGGCAATTACAGAGATGTGCAAATACGTGTACAACAGATTCTGCATTTTATTTATTTATAAAGTAATTTTATAGACTATTTCAAAATTTGGGAAGATCTAAAACTATTTTTCTGTATAAATATTATTTGCCAAAACTTTGTTTATATTTTAAGAAAAAAGTCTAATGAAAATGATTAAATTTTAAATGCTTTGTTTAATTAAAAAAAAAGACAAAAAAACAACAAATAAAACTCCCCTAAAAGAACCATGAGATGGGCCAACACGGAGACCGTGAATACTGTAGCTGGGACACGGTTTCAAGTGACTGAGATGTCTCAGTGTTTATTTTCTTCAGAGGATGTACAGCACCTCACCAAAATACCTTTTTGTTTGCCTCTCTCATCCAGCATAATTGACGACACATACGATGAATATTTCAGTAACAGTTAAAAGAAACCCCTCCATTCACTCTTTTCCAGCATATAACTACTAGTGGTCTGTTAATAGCCATTCTATTTCTGTTGTGACGTTAAATTCATTCACCCAATGTACAACCACTGAAATAAAAAGAAGCATTTTAAAATGAGAGAGGAGTCGGGGACATTCTTTCTTGTGGCGTGGCTCTTGGAGGAAGGGCCGGGGGTAACAGAATAGTCAAAGGAAAGTGGAGGAGTCTTGAAAAAGTGTATGTTTTTTTTTTATTCTACTTTGGTTTATTTTTATTGTGGGTTTTGTTGTTGGTTTTTTATTTTTTTAGTTTGATTTTTTTTGTTTTGCTTTGCTTAATTTTATTTTGTTTTGTTTTTTTTTGGGGGGGGTATTTTATTCTATTTGGTTTGCTTTGCTTTATCTTGTTTTATTTGATTTAGTTTTATTTTTTATTTTACTCTTTTTTTGTTTAGCTTTGTATATTTGCTCTGTTTTCCTTTATTTTAGTTCAGTTTGGTTTACTTTGCTTTATTTTGTTTTATTCTATTTTAGTTTGGTTTGGTTTATTTTGCTTTATGTTATTTCATTTTATTTGGTTTGGTTTTTGTTTGCTTTTCTTTGTTTTATTTTGATTTTTTGTTTACTTTTACTTTGTTTTATTTTATTATTTTAGTTTAGTTTAGTTATTTTTCTTTTTTCTTAATTGCAGAGTCAAGTAACAAATCCTTTAGGGCAGTCCCCAGAGGCAGGGCACATGCAGATGCTATATGAAGAAGCACGTACACTTCTGCTGCTGAAGACGTGCTGAGGATACCACACTGCATGGCTTTATCCCCAGACACTCCTTTCATGCACTCTCTGTTTGCTTGTGCATGCTGGGGTGCAGGCAGGCAGTGGTTATCTCAGCGGTATGGCTCACAAATGCCTAACTGTTGGGGGACTTATTTGCCAGTGCATCCTCTGCATTTTCCTTTCTTGCCTACATCTCAGAGCATATTATAACAACAAATACTCCCCGTTATCAACTAGTTCCTCTGGGGAGAGCAGCATCGCAGAGGATTTGCATGCCCAAGGGCAGAGATCACACAGCAAGCCACTGATAGAGGAGGGATTAAAATGTCTGTCTTGCAGTTCCATGGTTTCTTCACACCATCTTCTCTGATCTGTTTTTGTTAAAATACTTAGAAAAGAAAGACAATTCCTGCACAATCAAGAAGAGTTTGTGTCATGAAGTTGCGTATATTTTATCGGCACAGGGCTGAAAAGGAGTCCAAGGTCACAACTGATGTGGAAAAGCACCAGGTCAACCAGTCAATCTGGACATAGCCCAAACACACTGAGCCAGAAGCCTGCTGAGAATAAGCATGTGGGATGGAGAGGAGATACAGGGATGACTTGCAGGGACAGAGAAGGACTGGAGCATTAGAGGGCTGCAAGAGCACAGTAGAGCAGAAGCAGCAAATGATTCAACTCCCAATCATTCAGGAGCGGACACCCTGTCTGTTCACACTTTTTGTGTTAAACCCCACCCTGGACAGTTGTCAGCTGCCAGGAAGAGTCAGGACATGTTGATTTTCTTGCGTAAAAGCTGCTTTGTTTCTTGTCAACTTTGCCACTTCTTTGGCAATTGAGAAGTGGTTGTGGGAGCTGTGAACTTTTAGGAGCAGGGCCAAACTGGAGATCTGTGTACACCCCTGTGTGTGGAGCCTACCCCCTCCAGATAATATCAGTGTTTTCAAAATGAAGCAAGATACTTCTAGGAAAGAGGCTTTATTCCCCTCACCAAGCACGTCCTCACGGACAGACAGTGGCCATAGCTCTGGTGCCAAAGTCCCTCGCCCCAGGCCAAGCAATGCAGCAGCAGCATCACTTTGCTCAACATCAGCCTTCTCTAGGGCAGACCTTCCAGGTCCACATGCACAGTGTTTCTCTTGAGCATCATCACTGGCCGCACATGGTGTAGCCATAACCGTAAGGCATTATTTTCAGTATGTTTTGCTTGGGTTTTAGTTCAAAAGTCTGAAGTAATCTGAGGGCTGGGTTGTTTTTCTTCTTGCAGCCCTCTGGAGTTAACAGCATGAAACAAAAGGGGATGTGACATTTGAGGCATCAGAGCCTGCTGGGATAGCACTGCATGTCTGCATACAGCAAAGGAAACCAAAACTGGTTCAGCCTTGCTTATGCTGCATTTTGGGAATATCTGGTGAGCAAGTGGCTGAAAGAACAGCTGGGTTTTCAGGAAGAGTTATTTCACTCCAGGAGAGAGCCTAGAAGACCTCAACACCTCTGTACTGGGGGTGATGCTGGGAAAAGGACTTTAGGGCATAGGTCCCTGACAGTGTGGGCAGGCAGTCTGCCCACAGTGACTAGTCTTCTGCTGGTGGCACTTACTGCATGAATTCAAGGGACCCGAAAAATGCCTTGCCTAGATTTGCTGAAAACCTTCCTTGGCATCCTATCATATGCATACTGTGCTCTTTATGCCTGCAATCATTTCTCTAGCCAAGCCTTTTGTTGAGTAACCTGTCTTTTTAATGTCACATAATGGACAGTTCTGGAGGCTTTTTGCATGGTCAGGATGATTTTTAATGCTGGACTGAATGTATGTGTGAGGGCAATACCATTTTAGCTGTTGCTTTAAAGCAGTTATTATTGCTGGTGTGTAATGTATTGGAGCAAATAGTGATAGGTGTAGGATATATAGACTGTGAGTGAATAAATTAGAGAAACATCTTCTAAATTTTTACTCTTCTAATTTTGTAATTATGGAAACTATAGAAATTGTAAAAAGTAGAGTACATTTCATTACATGACAATACCTTCTGTTGGAGCAGGGGAGGAAACCACTAAGAAATGTGAGAGGAATATATTGGTATGATCTGCTTATGCAATGTTGTGTTGCAGTTGCATTATTTCCTCCAAAGCTTCTTACAGAGTGAGGAATATACACTTGGCTATATGATTTAGGAAAATCACTACAGGAAAGACGCCCTGTTCCTCTCATCTTCAAAGAGCTGGATTTGGATACTACTTGTAAGGGAAACAAATTCAGGTGAGTGTCCTCCTCAGTCTAATTGCCACAAAACAGTCAGGGTGTAGCCTGCATGGTGGGTGGCTCCTCAGAGGATGTGGTGGTAACAAGGGTGACTACAATGGTGTGAGGTTCACCTTGTAGGAGCAGCTCCCAGGACTGGTCACACAGAGGAGTTCCTGCATTAAACTTGAGCTGTGTTTACGTTTGCCATGAATGCCTCTCCTTTTCACAGAGGGCTACAGGGAGGACATGGTTTTATTTCCTTGTTTTATGGTTGTAGTCACCACACTGAATGCCAGCAGAGCACATTCAGAGGTGCTGAAGTTGGGAGCTGACAGCACAGCTCAGGACTGCAACCAAGCATTTCACACTTGGAAAGTTGTTAAGGTGGGATCCAGCTTTCTCCCCAGGGATGTCAGGTATCATTTCAGACACTGCAGGGTGCCTGCTTGGCCTAAAGCTGCTGCTATGGAGGAGCAAGGGTCTGGATGTGTATCTTAAGTCTGTCAGCCTCATGCAGGTATCTCAGGTCAGAGAATCACAGAATGGTTTGGGTTGGAAGGGACCTTAAAGATTATCCAGTTCCACCCCCTGCCACGGGCAGCAATGCCTCACAGCCACAGCTTCTTATAATGGAATTCTTCACTATAAGACTGGTGAGACCCTGGAACAAGGTTGCCCAGAGAAGTTGCGGATGCCCCATCCCTGGAAGTGTTCAAGGCCAGGTTGGATGGGGCTTTGAGCAACCTGGTCTAGTGTGAGGTGTCCCTGCCCATGGCAGGGGGCTTGGAACTGGATGATCTTAAGGTCCTTTCCAATCCTAACTATTCTATGATTCTATATGAAATCTTATTACATCAGCTTGTCAGACAACTCTACACTTTCTCACTTGCAGCCGCTCTATTTGCTGGTATTTATATGGATTGCCTAAACAGTGGCAATAGTTTTCTTCTGAGCATCCTTTTCTGTATGCAAGCAGAAGAGAAGTATGCTTTTACCACATAAAAATCAGGCCTTTTGCATCCAGCCTCAGGCTTCCTGTATAAGCAAATGGTAAGAGAGAGGGAGGCTTTGCCAGAGGGCAACAACATTCAATTTGCAGGCAGGATTGCCTCTTCTGGAGCCTTTCCAGCCTGGCTGCCTACAGAGATGCCTAAGGTGACCCACTCCATGAAGCTGGGGCACACAGCAAGGTGCTGTGCATGCCCATTCCTGCCCCCAGAGTGTCAGATCCTTCTTGTTCTGTCATTCACATGAGCTTCTCTTTTAAGCACATAGGCACTACAGGAACCCCATGCTGCCTGTCAGCTTCTATGCCTTTGTTTTTATCTGAGGGTGGTTGTTTTCTAAAACATCATGTTCCTCTTTTTTTCCTTTCATGCTAGAAATGATGTAGGTTTTTTTACCATCATGTGGTTGAGGAGCACAACTCGATCTTTGCACCATTGCAGCGCTTTAACATGTCATTCAGGCCCATCACTTGGAACGAATTGATTTCTCTCACCAGCAGAGATGGAGCATGCTGCCTGAAATGTGAGGAGACGATTTGTAAATGACCAGTTCTGCAGTAATCAAATAACATTCCCCACTGCTACATGTGCACATTAATATGAATCCTTTACTGCTTAGGGAAACTTCAGGGGGAAAATGTCCTCTTCTGACTTACAAGAAGTATTAGCCAGTCCTGTTTTAATCTGTGCACAGAGGCCTTTAGAATCATAGAATAGTTAGGGTGGGGAAGGACCTGAGGATGATGTCATTCCAACCCCCCTGCCATGGGCAGGGACACCCCACACTAAACCATGTCACCCAAGGCTCTGTCCAACCTGGCCTTGAACACCGCCAGGGATGGAGCATTCACAGCTTCCTTGGGGAACCCATTCCAGTGCCTCACCACCCTCACCGCTTCTTCCTTATATGTAACCTGATCTTCCCCTGTTTAAGTTTGAACCCATTACCCCTTCTCCTATCACTACAGTCTCTAATGAAGAGTCCCTCCCCAGCATCCCTATAGGCCCCCTTCAGATACTGGAAGGCTGCTACGAGGTCTCCACGCAGCCTTCTCTTCTCCAGGCTGAGCAGCCCCAACTTTCTCAGCCTGTCTTCATACAGGAGGTGCTCCAGTCCCCTGATCACCCTCATGGCTCTTGTCTGCACTTGTTCCAACAGTTCCATGTCGTTTTTATGCTGAGGACACCAGAACTGCACACAATACTCCAGGTGAGGTCTCACGAGAGCAGAGTAGAGGGGCAGGATCCCCTCCTTCGACCTGCTGGACACGCTACTTTTGATGCAGCCCAGGATACAGTTGGCTTTCTGGGATGTGAGCGCACACTGAAGCCGGCTCATGTTCATTTTCTCATCAACCAACACGCCCAAGTCCTTCTCTGCAGGGCTGCTCTGAATCTCTTCTCTGCCCAACCTGTAGCTGTGCCTGGGATTGCTCCGACCCAGGTGTAGGACCTTGCACTTGACATGGTTAAACTTCATGAGGTTGGCATCAGCCCACCTCACAAGCGTGTCAAGGTCCCTCTGGATGGCATTCCTTCCCTCCAGCGTATCAACTGAACCACACAGCTTGGTGTCATCGGCAAACTTGCTGAGGGCGCACTCAATCCCACTGTCCATGTCACCAACAAAGATGTTGAACAAGACCGGTCCCGACACCGATCCCTGAGGGACACCACTCGTTACTGGTCTCCAGCTGGTCATTGAGCCATTGACCACAACTGTTTGTGTGCAGCCATCCAGCCAGTTCTTTATCCACCGAGTGGTCCACCTGTCAAATTGATGTCTCTCCAATTTAGAGACAAGGATGTCGTGTGGGACAGTGTCGAACGCTTTCCACAAGTCCAGGCAGATGACATCAACTGCTCTACCACTGTCCATCAGTTCTGTAGCCCCATCATAGCAGGCCACCAGATTGGTCAGGCAGGATTTCCCCTTAGTGAAGCCATGCTGGCTGTCACCAAGCTCCTTGTTGATTTTCATGTGCCTTAGCATGCCTTCCAGGAGAATCTGCTCCAAGATTTTGCCAGGCACAGAGGTGAGACTGACTGCTCTGTAATTCCCCAGGTCATCCATTTTCCCCTTCTTGAAAATGGGGGTTATATTTCCCTTTTTCCAATCATCCGGAACTTCACCTGACTGCCATATTTTTCAAATATGATGGACAGTGTCTTAGCAACTTCATTTGCCAGCTCCTTCCAGACTCGCAGATGAATTTTGTCAGGTCCCATGGACTTGTGCAAGTTCAGATTTTTAAGATAGTCTCGAACCAGATCCTCTCCTACAGTGGGCACAAGGTCTTCATTCTCACAGTCCCTGTGTCTGCCTTCCAAGACTTGGGTGCTGTGGTCAGAGCCTTTGCCAGTGAAGACTGAGGCAAAGAAGTCATTCAGAACCTCAGCCTTCTCCAAATCCAGGGTAGCCAGTTCTCCTGAGAGCTTCCAGAGGGCCCACGTTGTCCCTAGTCTGTCTTTTATTCACAACATACCTATAGAAGCCCTTCCTGTTATCTTTCACATCATTAGCCAAGTTTAGTTCTAACTGGGCCTTAGCTTTCTTAACCTGGTCCCTAGCTTCCTGGACAACATCCCTGTATTCTTCCCAGGCCGCCTGTTCTTGCTTCCACCTTTTATAAGCCTCTTTTCCCTCTAAGTTTCCTCAGCAACTCCTTATACATCCAAGGAGGTCTCCTGGCCTTCCTGATGCACTTCCTTCTAGTTGGGATGCAACACTCCTGAGCTTGTAGCAACACTCCTGAGCTTGTATTTTATCTTTTCCCATTGATTCTGCTGGCCTTCCTTAAGAAACCCTTGGATCCAAATTAAAAGCCAGGCAGAGAAGTTCCTTGTGAGCTCACAAAAGCTTGTGTGAGAGTCAGTTCCAGTGGGACTGACCAGATGGCCTTAATTTTCGTAACTAAAACAGGAAACCACAAGCATTTAAAGTGTCATTTAATTATGGATTTGCTCTGGGTGGAAGGTAGAGTGGTCTAAACCTTCCTAGAGAGGATCTGACTTCCATGAAGGCAGTGCCTTGCCTACTCCATCCAGCTTTTGAAGGTCAGGAAGACGGAGAGGACAGGCTGCAATCCAGGCTGACTGCAAACAAACCCTGCTTCAGCACAGAAACAGCTCTCTGCTTACAATTATTCAGCCAGAAACATTTTCCAGTCTTTCACAGTGAATGCTGTTCATATGAAAGGTTTTGATGAGAGCTCGTGGGTATGGTGAAAACCCAGTGGAAAACACAAGGTGTAGAACTGTGACGGGATATCATACTGCGAGGAGCTAGGGATTCCTTTTCAAGTGGAAACCAAGCGCAGTATAATTATTCTCTTATTTGCCTCTCATCTCCATCTACATCAGATGTTCACTCTAAAAGATGTTTCACTGCTCCTTGGTGGAAATGACTTTCCTTTTTTTTAACCTGGCATTTGGGAGTTTTATATCCTTTCTTGTTTGTTTCCTCTCCCTTTGCTTTAATTTTAGCCATAATGCAGATGATCCTCTCTGATACAAGGCGAGCCTTCAGCCTTCAGCGAATGAAGCAGATACATTCTTCTTCAGGAGTAATTATCAGAAGAACTGCTTTCAAATCCAAGTTTTCTGTGCAATATAATTATTCCTACTTATATAAAGGACTCCGGCAGCACTACTCAGCAGCCTCTCTCTAACAAAGTGAGGGTTGTTTCTTCTTGACATGGCTCTCTTTCTGCTTTTCTCAGAAAATGTCTCTGTTAGAATCAAACATTAGTCCATCAAGTGCCTAAAATCAATGATCATTTTATATTCAACTAAATCCTTACTTTAAAAAAAACATCACAAAGAAATGTAACTGTCCTATTTTACTTCCCCTTATTGTTACTATTATTACCTCAGGAATACTGTAGAGATACAGCTGCCTCTCCTTTAATTTTCAGCTGCTTTCTGAAACATAGCTGGATGTGGCTTCATGCTCCAGGAGTCCATACACTTGAGCCAATTTGCAGCAAAACTGATCAAGAAAATGGCCCTGATAAGATGTGGTATTTGTAGAGCTTGGATTTAGTTCACTCAGTGATGAAAACATCCAGAAATGTGTGGTATAGCATCATGGTGTCAAAAGGTTAACAGGGCCAATGCCCACTGAGCCAGCTGGAGTTTGGGGGGGGGCTCCTCAGCAGCGAGACCTGCAGCAGCTGGGCTTTGCTGGGGTTAGAAACTTATTACTAGAGCTAAAAGGAGTAAATTTGGGCTGGGTTACTTGGAGCAAGGTATTAGGATAAGCTAGTGTGTGGATTTATGGAGACTGCCATGTGCTAGTGCTCTGCAGGAGCTGTGGCCAGCTGCTCTGCAGTGAAACGTGCCCTGGCTGTTGGAAATGGAAGCAAGCATCTCACATCTTTTTAAAGGTAATGATTTTCTTCAGGATCCCATGGTGGCTGTCTGTGGCAATCAGCACATGCATAACCAGGTGGGCTGTGAACGAACCATAGAAGGTCTCCTCAGTGTATAAGTGAGCAAGAGCAGCTCTGTCCACCAGCCAGATTTATAGATTTACTATAGGAACAAACATCCTACAGCCTCCTAGCAGAGCTGGAGGCAAGAGGAAGGCCCAAAGGAGAGGACTCAGGCACAAACCAGGGGTATGTGTCTTCATCCTGAACAGTCCAGCACATCCCTGTGGCAGAATCCTAACAGTCTCACCAGCTGTCCCGTTCCTGCATATGCAAAATAGTATCACTGTTCACAATAAAACCCAAAGTCCCCTAACCTTGGTGTCAGCAGTAGCAAGACCCATCTGAGAAGCTAGTTAAGTATGAAGAAGAAGTCTGTGGCCTCTGCAGTAAGTCCTGTTGGCTTCTCCTAGTTGGGATTTCTTCTGCACAATCTCTGGTGGATTCCAGCCCTGGAGCCATCCCCTTCTGCCATGTTTCCTTCTTGCAAAACATGGCAGAATTGGATGGAACACATGCAAAGACAAATGTAGAAATGCCTATATCTGTCACACTTGGAAAACACACTTGTGGGGGACCCAGGGCAGCAGGTGGGTTTTACAGGTCCAGCCGGATCATGAGGGAGTCTCCTCAGCTTCAGCCTCATAAGGAGCCTGAGGCTATTTCTAAATCACCTGGGAACTTGATTAGCTGCCATGGGGCACCTACACACCTTGGAGGTGGCTGAGGTAAGACTAGGCTTGCCTGCAACATGCCTGCCTGTTTCTGCCCTGAGCTTCCCTTTGCTATTGATGGCACCTGCTCACGTCTTCAGCTGTTCACCCAGCTCCAACCAAGCCCCCCAGCAAAAGCTCTTCAGCCCTTCCTGGCATCCTTACACATGCCTTCTCCACACAGCAGAAGACACAGGGCTTGGATTGATGCATCTTTTCCATGTTAGGAAAAGCCCTATACCCTTTTAGAGCATTTTGCACCCGTTTAGGGGTTAACTTTGCATTTGTTTTGATGAAACGAAAATAGCTGGAGGTTTATGATGACAGCAGCCTGCAGCTATGTCTGCTGGTACAGCAAACCTGCTGCACCCGGTGCAGGGAGGAACTGCTCTGTGCTGTGCTGCTGGGGGCATCCCTGGCACCTCACACACCACTGCCTTTGTCTTCTGGATAAAGCTCAGATTGGCACCTTTTCCCAATCCTCAGGTCCCCAGGTTTGGGTTCATCACTGCCTCCTTTATCTCAGGGGAAAAAGAAAACTATTTAAAAATCCCATTCTTCAGGCATTTACATTCTGAACAATTTAGATTCCCACTTTTGTCCCTGTGTGTCCATCTACCCACACATTACAGATGGGCACAACTGCACAGGTAGAGCCTGTGGGGGCCTACCATTTAATTTGTTTTGCCCTCACATGGATGAAGCACCTGTGTGAGCACAAAGGGAGTGCTGCAG